TTTACCGAATTAAAAAACATATGTAATGTTTTTTTTTTTTTTTTTTTTTGAGCCCGGCCGGGCAAGTTGCCCCAGGCCACTCTGGTAGCCTAGTCTGCTTCAGAATTTTATGAAAGGCAATGCGACACATAAACAAAACAGAAAGAGGCAACAAAGAGAAGAGATTTCTTTCACAAGGAGAAAGCTCGAGAGTCGAGAAGCATGAATAACAAAGACGCGGCGAATGGATCAGGAAGGCAGAACACACGAAGGAGAAGGTTTGCGAGGAGTGCAAGAAATAGGAAAGAGGATGAAGGATGAAGGACACAGCTGCACCAGGACCTCTCCTACTTAATCTGTCCTTAATTTTGGCCAAGTGCATCAAGAAAAAGTTGTAACACGAGTATACAAATACAGTAAATAGTAAATACTATCCAATGTATCCATCAATGACAAGAAACTTGGAAAAGTTAGAAAACATACCTTAGCAGCAGAAGTGTATGGTTGTCCAATGGCATTTATTATCGGTTTCTGACCCACACACACACAAAAAAAAAGAAACAAGCAGCAAAACAAATCACATATGTGGGGCAAATGAAAAAAAGTTAAAAAAACTCAAAAAAATTGACAAAACGCTTGCCCTAGCCAGCGACCGCCGATCTGTTTGGGAGCCTCAGAGACTTTACGCAACGCATCTCACTTGTTTCATTAACGAGACGGAAAGAAAGAAAGAAAGAAAGAAAGAAAGAAAGAAAGAAAGAAAGAAAGAAAGAAAAGAAAGAAAGAAAGAAAAAAGGAAAGAAAGCAGCAAACCCCTCACTTTGCGTCTACTTTCAATTCTAATTTGCTGGATTGCTGAGGCTTTCTTTTACGTATGAATTGTATGGTCGGTCTTGTCTTGTGAAGTTCAAACTCTCACAGTGGGTAGAATGGAAAGCAAGATATCATGACTGCGTTTACTAGAGTACACTTGTAGTAACCAAGATGGTTTAGTGATCTGCGGCCATTACTGCCACTGGGAAAAACTGATGCGCATTGACAGGCAGGCAGCCTGTCCCATGTCTTTGACCCCTGCAGACCGGAGTTTTGTTACTTTTCGGTGTAAGTATGCTTGATTTGCTTGATTTTGGGTGCTTCTTCTTGATCGTGATATCTGCATGCGATGAGACCAAGAGAGAGGGGTGAGACAGACCTTGGGTGAGAAAACATTTGAGGGGCGCAAAATGTCGGCCTAGGAGGACCTCAGACACCTGGAGAAGGCTTGGATTAAAGTACAAGATAATGTGTGTGTGTGTGTGTGTGTGTGTGTGTGTGTGTGTGTGAGAGAGAGAGAGAGAGAGAGAGAGAGAGAGAGAGAGAGAGAGAGAGAGAGAGAGAGAGCTATGCAACAGGCATGAGTGGACCTAAACCATGTTGAAAGTCCACCAACGTTTGGCCGAAAAAACTCGAGAACTTCAACAAACATGTACAATTTGGGACTTTGGCACCCTACTACGTTTGGTTACGACTTTCCTAAGTTTCCTTTCCTTTGTTCTCTGGCGAAGCCATCCGACACATTTCCTCTTTATCCCGAATTGAGGGCGTGTACGCGCACGGGGACTTTTTCAACTGGAAATCCACGTCACGCTGTCACCCAGCAAAGGATCCGATTTTGGAACGGCCTTGGAAGCCCTGTCCCAACATACACAGAAAGGATCCGATTTTGGACCGGCCTTGGAAGCCCTGTCCCAACAACATACACACAGGGAGGGAGTTGAGAGATAGAGGGAAAAGAGTGGAAGGGAGACCATGCTGTGGACATGCAGACTATGGTTGACACTCCCAGAGAGCTTGAGGCATTGTGCAATACTTGCTGGCATAACTCACCCGCAGTACACAGATCAGCTCCGGCATGCGTCCAAACACTGTCAGCACGGTGTCTATGCACAGGTGATGCACCTGTAGCCATATGCACATCCCACAACAAACATATCCAATTACATTATTACACAACAAAAATTGAACATTGATGGGTCGCGCATGCAGTACGGCAGCATAAGCGGTTAACAGGGACCCCCACTTTTCAGCCCGCAGTTAACCCCCTCAAGTTCCTCAACCCTGAAAAGTGCATTGGAGATGATTGGCGGCAAGTTTGGTTAAAATGACCCTTGGGTTTTGTTATAAATAGCCTGACAAGTTGTCTGAGAATTGAGACCTCCGTTAACCGCCTCTCCTCTGGTCAGAAGGAAAACAGGTAGTGGAAGACAGCAAAGGAACTAAGAGAGCAGCTGAAGGGGGGTCACAGACTGCTAGAAAACCTCAATTATGTACCCATATCAATTCCAGAGAAATGGAAGACACTGCTGACCAAGGGAGCCCAATGGGGGTACGGGGACAGGGCCACATGGTCGCACGAGGGAACACCGGCGGAAGTCTTCCCGGCATACAGAAAAAGGTAGAAGGCCCAGGGGGAGACACTGGCTGTGCTAAGAAATGTACCCAATCACACAGCCAGGGATCACCACCGGTAGACTGGACAAGGACTCGAGAACTCCGGTGTCGTTCAGGGTAGATAAGATCAGGATTCAGGAAGGTAAGGGTTTTGGAGACGGGGGAGTGCACCATTTACGAGCCTACAACGACAGTGGAGAACCTAGAATTTGACCGAGCAGTTATGGGATTGGAATATGAGGGGAGGAGTACGTAGGCTAGCTAGAAGAATAAAAATCCTGGAGTACACAACGCGCCTCGGCTACAACCTCAGAAGGTGACCCTCCCAGCTTAAGGAAACACTAAGCAAGCATTGGTCTGCCAAAATGCGGATACCGCAGTCCCGAATACCAAACTTACCCTGGGCCAACCTGAGATCGATAAAGCTGGGGAGAGTCAGAAGTATGCAATAGTTGACCCTATGCGTCGCTCTCCCGGTAAACGCAAGTGGCTGAATGAGCAGAGGAGCAAATCTGTAGGAGGAGAAATGCGTAGTCTGCAATGGGGATGCAACAGAAACAATGGCCCACTGTCTGCTAACCTGCCACAAGAGGCTCAATCTTTTTTTTCTTTTTTCTTTTTTTTTCCTTTTTTTTCTTTTTTTGCTTTTTAAGAAAAAAACGGCTGAGGCTCAATCAATGTGGGATTTTGTGAAGTCTATTTGCAGTGAGGTGACAGCCTCACCCCCTTCTAATGAGAGAAGCCCTGCCAAGATCCTGGCACGGCGGAGAGAAGAAAACCCCTTCAATTACTAAGGAAGGAAGGTATGCCTTGTGGACCATGTGGAAAAGATATGATGTCGAAGGAATGCACAGACAGAGGAGGGAAGAGTAACCTTCGCTAAACTTAATGGAGACACATATTGGGGCGCAATGGAAGAGAACAAGACAGCAAATGCAGCTGATCGAAGAGAAGGCCCAGGAAATCAAGAAGAGGTTTGAGCGAGACTGTCTGTGCAAAGGGAAGTTAGTGCGACCAGCAAATGCAAAGGGTTCAGCAGAGGGTTTTAAACTCATCTTCAAACGGTGAAGTTATTCGGAGCAGCAACCGGAAAACGGTTAGCAACAGAGACACGACTTGGCGGGAAGGCGGGAGAAGCGGGGGAGCGACCAGCCCCCACCCAATCACACAACAGGCTTCTGTCCAACCATTAGCGGGCACAGCACCAGGGCTTGAGAGAGGTGAAATCACACTACGATTATTCAACTTGTCATGTATGCAAACAGCGAAACAGCAAATTGGCGACAGGCGCCCACTCAGTACTCAAGATATCGTATCCACATAAGAGTTCTCTTCAAA